ACCTCCCACCATAAGAACTGTTTCCCCCCCTCTGACCACTTCATAACTTTTGACCCTTTATGACTTATCACCCTATATTACCGACACTTTAACTGCACTGTAATGTCTATTGTGTTTACTTACTGTATGTAAAAACTTGTTTAAAGTATACATTTGTATATAAAGATTCTTTAGTAAGTAAGTAAGTAAGTAATCTTTATTTGTATAGCACCTTTCACAGGCAAAGGCCACAAAGTGCTTCACAACACAGTAAAACATCACAAAATTAAATACAATATAAAAAGGGTCAAAACAACACAGAAATCGTATCAGCCCAAAAATAGCTAATTAAAGGCTTGAACAAATAAATGAGTCTTAAGATTGCTTTTAAAAGTATCAACCGAGTCCTTTTTTATGCATGCTTTTATAACCATTTTTTACTTGAATAACTTGTTGCATCATGAGCCAAAGCAGATTCTGAGTTTGTGACTTATTGTTTCAGCTTACAATGACAATAAAAAGATTCTGATTCTGAAATTCTGGGCAGTATTTGCTTAGGTGGGGAATTCACACTTTGGCCCAAAGGCTTTGTAATCAGAAACCACAATGTCTTGACGGCTTTGTGGGAAAAGTACTTCTATGAATACAGTACGTTGCCATGATATCTTATCTATGCACATGTATCTAAAGCTGGCAAGATTAGTCCATTGTTTAAGGTTGAGTGGGATCTAAATGCAGGATAAGGAAAATCTAAACTGACATGTTATGAAGCAATATTTTACTTTCAGAAATCGCTTTAGTAGACTGCATCAAACCACAAGTCTCAACGGCAAGTCTTTTCAAAAACTGAAGTGACAGATGCAGCAACTACACACCTCTGTGGCTTAAAAATACATTATGAAAAATTCATTTTTTTTCCAGAGAGTGAATCATTTCTGCCTGTTGCAAAAGCTAAATTCATTTTCTCTGGTCTCCACTGACAACAGAGATGCCAAACCCATTACAGTGCGAGTTCTCTGCATAGCACATGTTAAATGAAGGGTCCTCTTGCAATCGAAAAAAGCAATTTTCTCATTGAGCCAATAGATACTCCATTTAGTTCTAGATCTCTGCGGACCAGTGCCGCTGCTGTACCGAGCTTATGCATGAGTGGGGAGCGGAGAGTGATGACCCGGCTGCGTTCTCGCCTAGCCTCCGCTGCACCGGACCCATCAATATGGATCCAAATGAGACCTGAAGGTTCCATGACGACAATGGAAAGAGTGGGAGAAGGAGTGATGGATGAGCTGCACATGAGGACACGAGAAATCAAACACAGTGTAACTATAATTAAGGTTAAACTACATTTGTTCTGAGTCTGAATACTGCTTCTGCAAACCGGTTAGGAGAGGGATGTTCAAATATGCCTTGGATATTCCACAGGATGGCATTAAATAAGTCAATATGGTATTTTAACACTCAAATATTTCTATTTTCAGTGCGTACAGGTTGCCTCTCCAGAGATCTGAACAGTCACTCGGCCTCTTGCTCGTCTCCGTTGGGATAGTAGAAAATCTTTGAGCCATACTGTAGTTTTCAGAAGAAGCTATTACATCTCTATAAAGATAAGTGATGATGATGGTAGGTAAACTTTCCCACACACACACAGAGCTGAGCCAAAAATGTAAAGATAAAAAAAGGGCAATCTCCATTCTTTTTCAAGATGGATAATCAGAGTGAATTCAAAACATTTATCTTTTCCACTAGACTCACTGTTTTGGGGAAAAAAGTGGAGCCAAGGACATACAGCATGTCTTTATCACACTTCATTCAACGTTTTTTCTCAAATATGCCTAATTTAATTATATGAATGAATAGTTTGTTCTTGCCTGCGTGAAATTATATAAGGAAATCTGAAATCAGACAATATGAGGGAAAAAAACGTTTCCCTTTTCCCTTAGATTGCCTAATATGGTTAATTCTTGTATTAGAACCATGTCATAATGATTTGGGGATGCCAGAGTCCTGACTATAATCCAGTTGACGTTTACTTTCACACAAAGACTGAATAAAGACAAAACACACTTTTCTCATTGCATTCCTCAAAAAGTACGGTATAACAAGTTGTATGAATAGAAACCAATACTAAAAGTACTAATGCTTAACAATAGTCTCGCCTGGAAGATAGAACATTGATACACAGCTTTCTCCAACATGGAAAACCTGACACCAAACAAAATATCAAACTTGTATTTTTCCATTTCAACAACAAAAAGTAAAATTGATCAGAATGTGTACTCTGCATGTCAATGTGGCCAATCAGCAAAGGTCACATCCAATCAGTTTCACATAAAAACCCTCTTATCCGAGCCTCGTTGTAATTTCATTATTCAACAAAGAAACAGCGTGCTTCATGTTTGCATAATGCCGCTCGGCTCCGTACACAGACAGACAAATATGGGGAAATGTGGGAGTATCCCAAGTCAAAATGGCCAGCCAAAAATTCAGCGTGCACTTGCCTCATTTGCAGCCTGATACTTGAGAAGCCAGTGTGGCGGAGGGAAGGGCGTTAAGGGAGATTGGGATCAGGAGAAGCCATGTGTAACTAAAAGATTGATTAATTTTAGGCTTTTAATGAGTGCTACTTTGCCAGGCCGAGTCTCCCACCACCGTGCTCCTTGCAGCTTTGAGCCACCACACATCACTTCACACCCATTTTTTTCCCTAACAGGAACAGCATGACAAAGACTGTAGGATTTTCATTGTTAACACTTTAGCACTGGCGCTGCAAAAGTGTGATTAGCCACAACACATTATATAGAGCTGCTATTCAAATGAGTGCACCGCCAGCGCCAGTGGCAAGTCTCACCAGGTCTTACGAGTTTGTAGGTGGAATAAAAATGAAGATTTGCTATTGCCATAAACTCGGAATGGCTTGTGATGACTAATTACTACCTACAGTGGAAATGCATACAGTGGGTGCATTGTTTTGGCTCAACTTTATTCTCTGTATTAATTATAGAGCATTGTGAGGGAATTGCTCATGTTTGCACTCGTATCAATCACTCGGCAACAAAACTATTTCAAAAACACTCAATGGGAATTATGTAAAGAAATACTGGCGGGGAGGTTTAGTCAGAGGAATCTGTGAAGCAAAATGATTACACAGGGGAGCAACTCCACATGTTTTAGCCTGGGTTAAGAGTTTTATTGTCTTGTCACTGCTATATAATAATATTGCATTGGTTTATATGTCATTATTCATTCCCTCCATATATGGTGGTGGATTCATAACTACTGTAGCCACAGCTGCCCTAGGGCAGACACACACACCAGACTCATTCTGGACAACGTAGCCTAAGGACACAACTGCAGTTTGGCACTTTACAGCCAAAGCTGCCCCAATGGCACCTGGTGTTGCCAGAGGTCTCCCATCCCAGTACTACCCAGACCTGCTTAGCTTCAGAGATCTAACGGTATCTGGCTTCCACATGCAGGTATGGTCCAAGAATTAGTCTGGTTCTTTTGCAATGTGATAATAGGATATATTTTTTAAAAGATTTTTTTTTTTTTTTTTTTTCAAAAATAAGAATGGATTAACTGCAAACATGACAACATTACGTAATTAATGATTGAATTGAGAAGTTTTGACCTTCTATCTGAAACAATGACCATGGTTTTAAGGCAGATTTGTATGGAACAAAAGCAAAATGTGTTGTCTTCAAATGAGAAAAATAAGACAATTACTACTGCACTTATGAGGCTAAAGCTGAATAATAATTTGTTATCTCCAATTCAAGCATGTTTTGACCTTTTTGCAGTCTTTGAGATTTGCTAATTGCATCCACTAATTGGTAATTTGATTGCAATTAATTAAGTTTTATGTCAGATCAGCATGTCCTATAGGCAAAAAAAAAAATACCAATAATACCATTGAGTACTTTAGAATGATGATTTTGCTGCCTCTTGTACAGAACTTACTTGAAAAAGAGTTTCTTAATCTCAATGGGACTTTCCAGGTTAGATTAAAAAATATATATATATATAAACCAGCTTTGTCTGGAGCATAGAGGCAATTCTTGGATTTGAAGTTTTATTTTTTTGTCAAATAAATACCAAACAACAGTCCTTTGTCGGATAACAAAAAGGAGCCTGCTGTGTTCATGTTGCAGCAGTGGCATCGCGGTCCACTCCATTCATCACAGACAGAATAACAGATGCAGATTTGTCAGTCTGGCTGAGCTACTGGGCGCGAGATGATGCAGCTCCACTCCAGACACAGAAGATTGAGAGCTGAGCTGAATGGTTCGGACTTTAACTTGGGGCAAAACAATGGAGGCCGGCACACGCACCCAGCCCAGACACTGACTTGTGTTAATGGGTCCCTGGGAGCCGATCCCCTCTGGCAAAATTTCATTATGGGGTCTACTAGTCTGCAATACATCACTGATTTTGTCTTTGTAGGCAGAAAGTTTCATTCTCTCCAACTTGGGTTAACTTGCTGATGAAAAGAAACCACAACTTTATGAGGTAGTATTTCTGTAGAGGATTTTATAGTAGTTACAACGTCATATGAAAGAAACACCACAACAGAATACACCAACAAGCAAAAGACCCTAAGTGTGAATTCATTTTATATAAATACATATAATTTGACCTTCAACCATCTGTTTGCATACTGAGACTATGATAGGATAAAAACAAGATACCCAGCTTTTTGTCCGTAATGAATACATTTTGTTTGTCCCAACAGAAAAAAAAGTCTTGTAAAAGTGAACGTTAAGTCTTTATCTTATTAGAAAACATGTTATAGAGCCTTGTGAATCAGTATTTGAAGTTTTGATTGTGGAGTGAAGTGGAGTGAGTGTGGTCTTCTCATTTTCACGTTTCTTTTAAAAAGTTGATTAAATGAAGTGACAAAGGTACAGATTCCATAAGCTTCATTGTTGCTCAGACAGACCTCAGTGGACGCAGTTGTTGTGGGGTGATGCTTCTTTTGATTGATGCATTGTGACAGTGAACTCGTGCCCTACAGCAGAGGTATGACCGTCAGACGCATCCATCTGCTGACCCCACGCACACCCCCCTACCCCCTCCTCCCCCCTTCCACGCTGGAGTCCCGTGGGAAGGCTGCCAGATTCACGAGTGACACACATCCGTCAAACAACGAGCACGCCACACTATACGCAACTGTTTAAATGGCAACATAATCTGTCCATATTATGTCGCGCACTGCTGAGGCGTGCAATGAGAGCGCGCACACTTAAGTGAAATCATCCACTTAATAAAACAAACAAACAAGACCACAATAACGATCACATTCATGTCGTATTCTTAGAGGACAAATTCCAAACCCAAACTTGAAAACAAAGTAAGTGCGGAATCACAGCCAAAGCAACGACGTGATGTTTTGGACGCCTCCATTAGAACAAGGCGCACACAAACGCCAGCGATGTAACTTCTTTCAAGTCAAATAAATAAAGTTAGAGACAATACGGAGTCCTTCTTCTTACCTCACAGCGCAGCTCTGTGTTGGAACCCAGTGACACGCTGATTCCAAGAGAAAGTGTAACTATACAAATTCGTGCGTAAATGATTTGAAAAGGTTGAGTTTGGCGGATACGGCGAGGACACGTCTCTCAGTCTGGATGTCCAAGGAGGAGAAATGTCCAACTCATAAATTCCAGCGCTCCTTCGAGATCTGCGATCCCAATTTGGACAAGCATGCGGTGCAGAGGGGAGCCTGGTATGCAAACAGTTTGGTGAAGGGAGGACTGAGCTGCAGAGCGGAGCGGCGCATCCAACAGCGCGTAGATGCTCCTCCAGTGGGAGGGGCCAAACATGCGAGGCCCCCGCCCCTGCTCTACACGCCCTCACTCTCACTGCGCCTTTTATTGTGGGAGACAGGACTTCTGTTTTAAAGCTGTCTCCCCCCAGCATTATTGAGCACAATTAACACTAGAACTCCCAGAGCAGTCAATTTGTCAGCATTAAGTTTTGGAAGCGTAATTACTCATGACCATTTTAGGTCAAATGAAGAACATTGTGCAGCTTTCTGTTTCTATATGAAGTTTATTTCTATATTTTAATAAAATGATCTTGTATTTTATGTGAGTAGTTCTACTTTCAACCCCCTGAGCCGTCATTTTGACTGCCCTATTAAGTTTAATGGAGTGACACGGTGGCTGAGTTTGCATGTTCTCCTCGTGTCTGCGTAGGTTTCCTCCGGGTACTACGGTTTCCCCTACCACTAAAAACATGTACAATAGGTATGAATGTAAATGAGTGAGTGAGTGAATGGATGGTGTTGATTGGGGACTGATGCGTCGGTGTGTTCGGAGACTCGCTTCCGTCAACACCGGGTGTGGAATGATTGGAACAATATCTGACTCTGAACATTGTAAAGAGCTTTGGGTGACCTTGATCTGTAAAAATACGCTATATAAATAAACATTACTGACTACTTACTAATGCAGAATTAAAATGTGGCCCTTTGTTGGTCCCTGACCAACACCCTACGACAGTTAAAGGCCCTTTTTTCCAAAGTGCTGGTCCTGGTTCTGAGTCACGTTGGTTTTCTTCCAGAGAAGAGCAAGCCCTAGTTACCATAGCAACACACCTTAGCATTCAGTAGCCTTTCAACAAACTTTTCTTTATTTCAAGTTATAATATTCAGTTTTACCACTTATTAAAGATTTGCTTTATCATAACACTATTTCCCAAAATTCCATTGATTTGAATGAGCCGTCAAAATGACTGCTCTGGAAGTTCCAGTAATTTTAGAATTTTGGGAGCCATAGTGTTAAATGGACATTCCACATGCGTTATTCAGTTGTAATGTAGAAGACAAATATAGACCTATGGACAAGACATGTACCAATGTGACATCACAACATTCTAAATAGCCTTGAGGTAACATTGTGGTTGAGGGCATCTGTGAAAGCTTTGAAAGCTGGTAATTATGGTAACTGTCAAAAGTCAGACTAACTTACTTAGTAAGTAATCTTTATTTATATAGAGCAACATCTCTAATTCCAGGAACAATCCACACGAAACTAAAAATGCTCCACATCTTCTTTGTCAGCACATAAACATATATCTTACTACTTAAGTCCAGATAAGTGAATATTCAAAAACATAATGCTTGACTTTCAATAATCACTGTCAAATACTGAGCTGGGATATATTTGGACATTTTCTTTTCCCACATTTCTTAAAAAATGCTACTTTCCCATAGAGTTGTAGTGGCACCTGCCCTCAACTGAAATAGAACTAAAGAACATGAACATAACCTATTGTGCAAGGTTAAAGTTGGGGTACCTAACTATCCACCCTAAAATCTAATTTGCTCTTGCCTCAGTATTGTGTGTACTTAGTTGTATAGACTTTGTATAAAGATATTCAATGCATCCCTTATATTTATTTTGACTTTTATAACTTTGATCTTACGCCAAAGCAAATTCCTAGTTTGTGACTTACTGTTACTTACAATGACTTCAAAACAATTCTGATTCAGATTCTTTAGATCAGCTTTTTCAGACTGAAAAGTGAAAAAGAGAAAACCACCCTCACTCAGCCAATCAGCCCTCAGCCCAAAGTGTTGTGACTCACTGGGTTCTTTCTTACAGATATGCCAAAGATAACACAGCTGGGGCTATTGTTGGGAAAAGAAAAAAGTATTATTGATTTATAAACACAATAGGTACCCCAACTTCTGCCCCTTTTTTCTTAAAATTTAACTTCGCAAATCCAATGAAAGCAGAATTCAACTAGTGGATCCGTTAATTAAACTTGAATCAAACTATTGTATATTTGTCACTGTCTGAGGATACATGTTTCAATCTCTCCTGACTTCACTTAGTGTGTGGAAATGCCTCTAAAGGTTTGTAAGCATAAACTTCTAGTTTTGAGATCTCTTCTCTTCCTACTGTTCTGTAATGTGCGCTGCAGCAGTGGGATGAATACATTTTATGGGAGAGGTGTAGGGTCAGAGGGTGTTTGGCCCTGGGTTTTTGTCTGAGTGAGTGTGTGTGTGTGTGAGAGTATTTTGCGTTGTATGAGTGAGTGTCAAAATATACACATTATTTTTAATATGTATATTTTTAAATTATTTTCAGTATTACATTTTATTTGCATCATTGTATATTTGTATACTTAGTAAAGAAATGTACATACAATTTTATAAACTACTAATACTACTACAACTACTACTACTACTTCTACGCGTCTCTCATTTAACATCACTCCCACTGCCACCACTGCTACTTCTACTACAACTACTACATGTACTTCTGCTACTTACTACTACGACTACTTATATATATACACTACTTATACTAATCTTAGGCTTTGTGAAGGAAAGAAACGTGCAGCCTACATACAATCTTTAATCGGCCATCTGTGTCTCAGAAAATGTATTAATAATAATGATTTGTCCAAGAGAATTCAATTTGCGATTTGGAATTGGACATATCTCGAAGCCATTATCTCTGTTTGTTCCCACAAAATCTATTACAATCTATTTTCCATTGGTCGAGCCATCCCCCGAGACTGACCTAAATGAAAGACCTTCTTGACTGACAGCTTGACAAAGTGCACACTCAGCACAGAGCCGTCATCGCCGTCCATTCACAACATCACAGGATATTCTCAAATCGTGTTGCAGAGAAGTATGGATCTTTTATAACACTTTTGAAGCAACTATGGTTAAAGCTGAACTCATCCACTTGAATGTTTTGGTTATTTTTGACAATCTGAAGGTCAAGCTAGCATAACGCCGTCACGAGGAGGACCTTGGTTCCTCTAAATCACATGCATTTTGAAAATGTTCCTGTCTCTTCTTTACCAGCAACAATAAAACATGTCTATTGCACTGTAAAAAGTGTTGCTTTCATCAGAAATATAAAAAATATAGTAAGCGGTTCCATCGGCCTTTGTGTACTGTCAACTTCAGCTCTTTAAGTAATAAGAAAATATTGAATTAATTATATTATTGTGTCCTTTAAAAGCACAACTATCACTTAGAGTTGATCAATTTACTAAACCCTTCACTCTTTGAGCAATGTCCTTTTTTTCTTTCCTGGATTTTCTCAGATGTTTCTTAGATCTCACTAGTATTTATTTTTTATTTTTTATGACAGGTCTTTACCAAATGATTGAGATGCAGTTTGATGGTAAGTGCCTGAAACCAAGTGATTCCCCAAAAAGGTAGATTTCAGTTCCATTCAAGTAGATTTAGTGACTCAAAAGGTGATCTACCAAATGGTTGAGGAAACCAGGGTTAATATCTTTATTATATTTTATTATTTATTTTGATTGGGAGTACACACATTAATGAACTACACAAATTGTAAATATGCCAAATTATAGCAGAACTACTATTTTACATCCATAGTCCCGGATGTTTTTGCTTTGTGTCCTTTGAAACCAAAACTAAAACTTAGAGGTGATGGATTTACTGAATGTTTTTGTGTTCTAGCATCTTAACTCGATATCATTGTGAAGCATTTAAATGAATGCCTTCGCAATTCGCATCTTGTCTTCCCGTTCTCGACAGAAACTCAGATAAAGTGAAATTGCACAGTGTTTGCCCCCTGTTAATTATTCATGCTGCGAGTCTCTTTTGCCAGCCAGAAAACAGGAAGAGTCCCTTTGTTTTCTTTGGGGAGGGGGCGAGGGGGCTGTAAGTGTTGGGGCTCCCTCCGTGCACCTCGTGTCACCAAATCTTCTGCAGATGGGAGAGAGATAAGCGCGCCGAGGCTGATTCGTTTGGCTTCTCCCTTTGAGGTCGTGACACTGACATTCCCTGCAGCATACGTGATACTTCCAGCCCGCACTCTTTTTTTCTCCTTTTGTTTTGGAGTTTTCAGATGTTTCTTTAACTTAAAGTGCGTTTCAAAAGAAAGAGAGGAGGATTGAACAGGCTTTTAGCTCCGTGGTTATAACGAGAGTCGAGAGTAATGCCAGTTTAGAGGGCCAATTATTTTCCTTGTAGGAATAGAGCTCTCAAAATATTTCAGTGTTGCTGAGCTCTCTCCATACATCTGATCCAAATCAGATTCAGATTCATTTTATTTGCCATTTGCAGTTAAAGTATAAAACAAACTAAAAAGTGCAGGAAACAATTGTCACTGTGAAATTGATCGACTAAAACAGTTTCAATGCAAATGCAAGATTCTTAAAGTGCTTTGAACTAATAACAGCTTGTGGAAAGAAGCTGTTCGCAAAACAAGATTTCCTGCATCTCAACGAACATCGCTGCCAGAGAGAAGAAGCTGGAACATGGCTCTTCCAGGGGCCAGAAGAGTCATTGATTATTTTAAGAGCTCTGTTTAAGAGTCTGGATTCATAAAGAACCACAAAACAGGCAGCTCACAGCTCACGGTGGCTCACATGTGGAGAGCACTGTTGCTCCTCAGCAAGAAGGCCCTGAGTTCGAATGTAGGAACAGGGCCTTTCTGAGAGTTAACATGTTCTCCCCGTATCTACGTAGTGTAGGTTTCCTCCGGGTGCTCCGGTTTCCCCTACCACTAAAAATATGTACAATCGTTCAGGGTGAATGAGTGTGTAGTGGTGAGTGCGACTGTGGGACGACGAAAGGAAATTAGCCCAAGGCTACAATCCGGAGTGATGTGTTCATGAACATGTACTGTCTCAGACAAATAAATAATAAACTCACAGTCCTCTTTCAGAAAGGAACACCTTGTTTAGCGTTCTCCTTTCTTTGGCTGTGATGTTGCCAAACCACACTGTCACAGAACCGACAAGCAAACTTTCAATGGTGCAGCAATAAAAAAACTGTATCACAAGCTCTCTAAATTTCATGCAGAAATAATAAAATACATTGCCATTAACATTAACATCCAGTTCAAGGGTAAAATCTTAGCTTTTTTGTTTGTTTCATTCGATTAATTACAGCGGC